AATAAAGGCATTGATCGAGTCAAACCCACGTTACACGACACGAGAGATTGCAGAAACATTAAACATCCATCATTCAAGCGTTCACGACCACTTGAAGTAGCTGGGATACGTAAGCAAGCTTGATATTTGGATTGCTTATGAATTTATAGTAGTTCATTTGACGGCGCGTATAAACATCTGCGATATGCTCATTAAACATGAGGAAAACGATCCTTTCTTGAAGTAACTGGTGATGAGAAATGGATTGTTTACAATAATGTGGAGCGCAAACGGTTTTGGTCCCGACATGATGATTCGTCTCAAACGACATCGAAAGCAGACGTTTATCAGAGGAAGGTTATGCTCTCAGTGATTTTGTGGTGGGATTTTAAAGGTGTCGTGTTTTTCGAGCTCTTACCAAGGAACCAAACAATTAATTCGAATGTGTATAATTGAATAGTTTGAACGAATCCATCATCCAGAAACGTTAAGAGCTCGTTAATCGTAAAGGAGTTGTGTTCCATCACGACAACGCGAGACCACATACAAGTTTGATCACCTGTGAAAAATTATTGAAACTTGGATGTGACATTAAATAACGTGATATAATGTTAAATTCAAATGAGACTGTAAATCAGCACCTTGTTCAGTTTTTCGCTGATAAAGACAAGTCCTTCTATGAATGAGGAATTATGAAGCTCACTGAAAGATGGCAAAAGGTCATGGAACAAAACAGGCAATATATCATTGATTAATCTTTGTTCTTCATATAAACAAATGACCTTTGAAAAACATAGAAAGAATACGTCATGACGTCTTTTCCAACGTCTTTTCCAACAACCCAATATATATGATGAAGAGTAAGCAAAGATAAAAATATTTTAAAACTATTCACTTTTATAATATTATATTTTTAAACTTTGTTTTTGTTCAGAGGAATAATTCTCATGGATACTCCCGCCCCTTTAGGAGAGGGCGGGAGTTATGTCAGACTCTTACCAACTAAAACCAGCTAAAAGGGTGTTTTTCATTTGGCCGTTGTGGAGCCGAGGACGCACTAAAGTTAACACTACTTTCTTCCTGTTTTAAACTATTTAAAAGTTATAGTTAAGACCTTAATGATAACTTTAATATGACTTAATCCCTGAAAATTGACTTAAAAAATTCCATCCCAATCGGGAGTGGTCTGTCCAAAATGTAGCCAAATATGATTCATACGCAATTCAAAATATGCAATTTATAAACATAAGATTTTATATATGCAAGTATTAGGTGTGTGGATTAATTCGGTCCATCCGGCGGTCAATTGCTATACTATATAATTTTCTAACCTCTAATATTTGCAAAAGGCTTTATTTTTTAGTTTTGATATCTGCCAATTCAGTTGATAAACGTTTGGGTTTATAACAATAACATCGTGTTTATCTGATTCGACAATGTCGAAATTCGAACCAAAAAGCATCATTTCCGGGAAGTTCTCATTTTCTATTTTCATTTGAAGAAAACAGCCGCTGAAGCTCATCGAATGCTCGTAGAAGCTTATGGTGAAAGTGCTCCCATCGATAAATCATGCGGAGAATAGTTTCGACGTTTCAAAAGTGATGATTTCAGTGTCGATGACAAACCTCGTCCAGGTCAGCCGAAGAAATTCGAGGACGAGGAATTACAGGCGCTAATCGATGAAGATCCATGTCAATCGTAACATGAGCTCGCGCAATTGTTGAATGTTGATCAATCAACAATTTCTGTGCGTTTGGCAGCCATGGGAAAGGGGATTTACAAAGAAGGAAGATGGGTGTCATACGAACTGAAAGAAAGAGAGACATCGAGAGGCGAAAAGCCATGTCTGCTTGCCAGGCAAAAAAGAAAAGGTTTTTTGCATCGTATTGTAACTGGAGACGAAAAGTGGATATATTTCGATAATCCCAAACGAAGGAAATCCATTAGCGATCCAGGAAAACCATCCACATCGATATCAAAGCGGAATATTCACGGCAAGAAAGTAATGCTCTATATATGGTGGGACCAGAAGGGTGTAGTGTATCATGAACTATTAAAACAGAGCCAAATCATCACTGCCGAACTTTACCAACAACAATTGATCCGTTTAAACAACGCATTGAAGAATAAGCGGCCGGAATATGGAAAGAGACACGATAAAGTGATCTTCCAGCACGATAACGCTCGGCCACATGTTGAAAAGATTGTGAAGGCCACCTTGGAAGCACTTGGCTGGGACGTTTTGCCTCACCCGCTGCCATTCACCAGACATTGCTCCATCCGATTATCACTTGTTTAGATCGATGGCACATGGGCTTTCGGACCAGCACTTCGACAGTTATGAAGAAATAGAGAAATGGCTTAATGCATGGATCGCTTCGAAAGACGAGTCGTTTTTCCGTTACGGAATGCAACAATTGCCAGACAGATGGGAAAAAATAATAGCAAGCGATGGCAAATACTTTGATTAGTGTACTTTTTCATATTTTTCATACTAAAGTCTTTTTTGGAAGGAAAAATGGACCGAATTAATTCACATACCTAATATATAAAAACATATCAAGTTATATGCATTAAAATGCTTTGAAATTAATTGGAATACATTTAATGAAAATTTAATAATAGAGTCTAATAAAGAGATTTTATGAATGTAAAAAAAAATAATTATTAAAAGTGTATATAAAACATTAAACATATGTTATCTAAAAAATTAATTTTGCAAAAAAAATAGGTTCAGAAGAAAGTACTAAGAGATTTTCATACAATATTGATTAAAATATTCATTAAAAACGGAAATTATTAAAAATTATCAAACAAATAAAAATCTTTTCTTTATTTAAAAGTTAATGAGATATATTCTTATACATAAATACTTTTTAATCTGTGGTTTTTTGTATATTTAGGATACTTAAAAGGAACAGTAAAAAATATTTGAAGAATATTTATAAAAAAGTTGTTGAATAATCGATTTGTCTTTTATTGTCAATTGCAAATAATTTTATTTGATTGGTTGTATTATATTAATCGTTATACATTGAAATTTCAGTTAAGAAATTCAGAGAAAACTTGCTATTGGATCTCAAAAATTTGATGTGCGCAGATTGTATTGAAAGCTCATCCATAAAGTGTATATTTGACCATAAAAAGGTTTATATTTTTTTTCAATGAAATTGCTACACGTTAAGTCGTTATAACTAAAAGATGCTGTTGATACGTTAGTGTAGTAATTGGTTGTGACCGAAGCTGAAATAACAATATATGATAAATATATTAACTCTTTTTATCCTTTTATTTGATAAATAAGAATTTAATAAAAATATTAATAGTTCTTGAATTCTTTGTTGCAGTTGCAATGTTGCATGTCATATATATTGTCACTTCGATTCTTGTTATAAGAGATTACTATGTAAACTCGTTAGTAATGCTTTTTATTTGTTTATTTAGAGTACTGTATTTTTTTAGGAAAAATAAATCATTTTGTGGCCGAATGTACATACTGTACATTCAGACACAATTGTACAATTGTCATATGTTAATTATTTGAGTAACAGCGCAGCGAAAAAGCGTTTTGCATGACCATAACTTAGCAAAATTGGGAAATGTTTTGTTTAACATTGATAATATTAGGTAGAACAGAAACAAATCGATGATGGGCGCAGAATCGGGAAGTCTGGAATCTGGAAGTCAGATCAAACATTCTCTGCATTGCGAAAGTCAAAAACATTAAAATAAAGATAAATTAACGTTTTAAAATCATAAAAAGTAAGACATAAATTATTGCTAGCAAGCAAAGAAAGACAGAGAGAGAGAGAGAGAGAGAATGTGTAAATAGAAACCCTTATAAATGTTGGTAGTTATAAGGGGGACCTCTCTTATTCTGAATGCATATATGTAACTATTATAATAAGTAAATTATAATATTATGTAAAATATCGGTCAAAATGCAACAGCAATTCTCATTCATCTTAATTATATTAATAATTATGTATTTTCTCATACGTCATTTTTATCACAGAAAGCTATATACAAAAATATTTATTAAAAATCTCTGGAAGAATTTCAATATCTTACAGCAAGGATTAATATATTTAAAAATTTTTTATTTATTCTAACGCAATTTGGATATACAAGTTTTTGAGACTCGATATTAAATTTTTCTTCAATTTCTTACCCGAAGATATTTCAGCATATAGCTAGCTATTAATAAAACCAATAATATTTTAAATCGTTACTTTTTAGTTGGAGAAAAAAGAAACAAACCAATTACTCAGCAAGTTTTTATGGATAATGCTCAAATATTTGTTGTTTTTTTAAGCGACCTAAATAAAAAAGTAGATTGATAAATTGTGTATTTTTGAGAATATTCTTCATTATTTTTTAATTGAAGAAACATTCAAAACATTCAAAAATTAATTCAAATTAATCATGTGACAGTTTTCAATAATTTCCCCTGTTTTTAATATTATATGAGTATCTTGGTACTTTTGTTCTAAATATTTGTTTTTAGATAAATTTATTTCTAAAATATAGCATAGTTTTTTTATTTTTAATTATTAATTTACTTTCTTAAAAGCTTTTTCTTAAGATTTATATTAAATTTTTATTAAATGTATTCCAATTAGTTTTTAAATATTATATTGCATATTTCTGTTAATGTCAAGAATTCAAAATCTAAAGTGACTGATTCAATCAGAAGCGAATTTTCCGAAAAATTTGTACGATGAAATCACATGCTCCACGTTGTTTCGATCTTTATTCAAAAGGTCACTCGTTAATATGAATAGAACACCCTCCGTTCTTTATAGCATACATTTAAAATTCATTCGAATGCACGCACTGTATGCACGCACCGGCGCACACCACCAGAGTCGTAGAATCAGTAAGTCAGTGAACTGTCTTCGGCAGTGGCTACAGTGGCGGCGGTGACGTTGACGGTAACAGCAGTGGCAGCGGTAGTGGCAGTGGCAGTGGTGCAGTGGCGGCGGAATGTAGCTTGCTGGTAGTTATTTAATGTGTTTCGGTAAAAAGTCAACAGCAGTTGACGACATCGGATCGTAATATATAGTTTTATTGAGAATTCAAGATATTTGATCCTCTTTAACTTTCCTCCCCCTTCCTTACCACCCCTTCTCTCTTCCTCGCGTGATCAAAAACGATCCATGGATCTCTACCGCGTGATCGATAGCATCTGTCTCGCGTTAGCAATCCGCGACTTGCTACACATTTCGTCACTTACAACGATCGTAATCCTGCTGTGACGCTGATATTATTCATTTGTCGACCATGAGAACGATTATGACAATAAGCAACACCTGATTTGATGTCATAGGACGAGAATTTTGTCATTCCTCGTCAAATTGCAAAAAAAAAGAAACCTCGAGAAATTGGAAATGGACGGCCTCGTCGAGATTTTTCTTTTTTGTGGAGTGCTCTGTTACTTCTTCAATCTCAGGTAATTTTGATTGTGTGCGATTTATGAGATGATAATTTGTGTCAATAATTCGAATTCGAATAATTCAAAAGGTAATGAGAAGTTATTTGGATTATGTTCATAGTATTTTGTGTTTGACATTATATATAGTTATATGATTTTGTGCTTATTTCGATTAAATAATCGATTGATCAACAATAATTATTATTTTCTCTAGGATATCAAATAACATTACGAAATTAAATTATCATCAGTTTCTTTATGCTATGGGTATCTTCCATTTATACTTAGACAAAAATGAAAAAAAGCAAAGATATATATTTATAGCTTATAAATAATAAATAATAAATTAGCTACAACGTGGTTTATCAATATCTTTCAATCTTCTTGGTGAAATAAATATCTATAGTAACCAATGCTTTTACGTTAGTGGGATATATTTTAGGTTTTTATAATTAAAACTGAAATTATCTATAATTAGGAAAAAAGGGACAGAAAGAGAGAAGAAAAAATGGTATATTTAGTAGATACGTGACACATTGTATCTTTTTGTTAGAGTTGTTTTCGGATTTATGCACGAAGAAAATTGTTTATATGTTATAAGATAATTTTATATATGATCAGTTTAGTATAATTTCGTATTATTATTTATTTATATATTATTGTTGACAATCCTAATGAAACAAATAATAGATAATTTACATATATGAATAAAGTAATTACTATTATGTACAATATATAATGTTAGTATTATAAATTATGAAGTCTCATATACAGTAGGTTATAGAAAAAAAATTTATATATATATACATATGTATATATATTTATATATGTATATACTATATTGTACAAAATTATATAACGTATATATTAATTATAACATTAATTAATCTCGAAACAAATTTAAGATACATGTTCTTTCAAAATCCCCTTATTCTTCTTTTGCATAAATTCCTCGAAATTTTATAACAATATTACAGATCTCGCATTTCCGTACTTTGAGAGATTGAAGTTTTTTTTCTACTTTTCTACTAAACTTATCAATCCAATTCAACTTCTTGTTTTGACGCCAATTTGCACAATCCAAGTATTCACTGTATTATCAGTAACAATATGCAAAAATTTGATGATAGTTAACAAGCAATGGTCAATGCTCCTTCGATTCGAAGAAAGTGCTTTTAATGATTATGGTGATGTCGACATGTTGTTTCTTTTCTTTGCTATATATTACGGAAAACGTTAATAAACCATCCATTATTCTTCTAAAATATATATTTGCCATGAGTTACCTTTTGACTATCTTTGGTTGTTTTTATTTCCCATCATTTTTAGCAATGTTGTAAATATTTTTATGATTTTGTAATATATTTTATAGATAACACTAATCATAGGAAAGATCATTTTAACAAGCATAGAAAAGCGTTATCATTGAATTTATATGTTATTACTGAATTATCATTGAAATATATATTATTATATTAAATGTATTAATTCACTGTGGATGAGAGTTCGTGCACGTAATGAAAATAGATAAATTAATGTAGAAATTTTTGTTCTAACGACTAGCTTATATTTTCAAAGTTTCAACTTACCTTGCAAAATCATTGATTTATTATTTTATAGTTTTAATTTTAATAATGTTTAAGTTATACCAAGCTTTAAAGATTGTTAATAATCTATGTGGAACATATTTTTGAAAATAACCATTTGTACATGGTTTGTAAATTGTAAATAAATATTTGTTAAATTGTTAAAGTATCTCGTTTGTTCTTAAGTACAATGAATGAAAATTTAGTGTGAATCCGATGAGGAAACTCGGTTTAATCAATATAAGTACATTCTCGATTATATTGTCGTTGGTTGTGCTTCAAAAGGTATCTCAATTGCCTACTTAAGATCGACAAAGAAGTTTTATGGTAATATTTCGTGAGCATAGTAATATTTTATCATCACCAATATTTATTAATATACTTTTCATTAAAAGTAATACATAAAACAATAGTATTACATTAGCGATATTCATCGTAACCGAAATTATTGAAAAATTATGTAATTACGATTTGTGATATGAATGAATGTTGTGCAAATAATGTGCTTTGAAATATTTCAAGTGATCAAAATCCATAGTTTTATATCGGTTTTTACTATTGTTTTTTCACTTCAGTTGACCGTTTGTAATCGATCTTCCAATTATATAAAGTATTGACAAATATTCCAATTATGTTAAGTGCTGCTTGCAGTAGCAACACATTGCACCGCATAAATTTTGTTATAGAGAAATACTCGATAATTCAGTAATAATACACTTTCGATCTACTTATCGATAGTTACACAAATGATGTTTCTGATTATGTTTGAAATAAATTTATGTTTCGAATAAACGTGTGGAAAAGAGCATTACGTGCAATTTTACCAATTGATGTGACTTGACTTTTCTTATCATTATTGCGCGAGCTTTATTTCATCATCGTCGATCATAGTTCTATACGTTGATACAAGGGCAATAGTAATTTTCGTTTCTCATGGCAATGCAACACGACATGCATTGATTCCTATACATATAGGACAAGTATTGGATATTCTAATTCAAAAGTGCTACTATGTTTGCAGTAACAAAAAAAAACATTTTTTAATGAATTTGCAATTTTGATTCATTTTTAAATGATCTTGATTCATGGAAAATAGTTCATAAAAATTGTTAATTGTCATTTATTTTCGAAGAAGGCTGTTCCACTGTCCCAAACAATATGCAGTTGAAACAGAAAAAACGAAGATATCGCTTCTCTCTCTCTCTCTCTCTCTCTCTCTCTCTCTCTCTCTCTCTTTCTCTCTCTCTCTCTCTCTCTCTCCTTCTTCCTTCTCCCTTCCTCCCTCTTTCTTTCCCCCTCTCCCTCTCCCTTCCGTTTTCTTTCAGAGCCCTATTTTATAATTAAAGATTATATTTAATTCATCTTAAAATGTTGTAAATATATGTATTATTAGTCATTTAATATCAAATGAACTTACAGTAATCTTAAATATAGGAGTTGCCCGGATGTGTTTATATATATATATATATATATAGCGGAACAGAATCGACAATTTAATTGGTTAGAAACTACGAAATAAGTATCTTAATTACGTCAGCGATCCAAATGACCTGACCTGCATAACACAGATAAATCTTTAAGTCTATACGTTAACATGAGTTGAAATAACAAAACATTCTCGCGAATGTAACTTATCAGACAACGAACGATGGGAAGTGTTCAGTTAGTTTCACAATGAATATAACTTTATATTCAATGAAAGTCAATTACATTTCCAAGACATCAAAGAACATGAATTTAAATAAGTTGTCAATAAGTTATGGACAACAATTTCAAGTTCATATTATATTCATTAATATGTGACAGCATAATATTGACAACGTGATATTACACTCATAGCAAAATATTTTGTATTTAAATAAATGAATGTCTTTAAAGAAATTATTGATATCGATAAATTTGATCAATACCAAAGATATTTTTGATAATTTTTACTATTTTTACCTTTTTTATATGACGTATTTCTTGTTAATAAACATTATAATTCTTTACAAAGTTGCAATTATAGACGCAAGAAAAATCTATATATTTAGCAAAAATAATATTAATACATTCATTTAATACATTCACTATGTGTGTCATGTGTGACATATGATGCACTAATTTTCGTGAAATACTGATATCACACATGTTTGACAGCGATAACAGCATTTTATTTTATATCTACATAAATCAAATCTATTTATATAAATATAAAGTGATCCATGATGAACGATTTCTTAAATGAAATATAACAAAGATGTAAAAATTTGAATAATATATTGCAATACATACCATTGCATTATTATTATTGCCCTTATTGATTATAGAAAAATGCAGTTACAAATATACATAATATGCAGTTACATATAAACGACAAGATAAATTCCATTGTTGTAGTTAGTACAGTATACAATAAATATTTCACGGTTACAAAAAATACCAATTATTATTAGTCTACTGAAGGAAAATAGCAAAACCTTGAGGTTAAATGTAGAAAAGACGAACTCTTCATTGTGTCAAGACACTCACATTTTTTCATCTTATCCTTCAATATACCAATTGAGAGTCGTTAATTAACGTTTTATTGCAATTTACACAATTTAAGTCTTGTATTACTCACGATCGTGATGTAAATTCTTTACTAATCGTTTTTGTCTATTCCCTTACATTAAAGAACAAAAAAGAAAAGAACAAAGACAGAGTACGCTTTTCAGTCTATATTGAGTTTATTAGCAATAATCAGGTTTCCTTCATGCGTTGTTCACGCGATATGCTTATCAATATGGACTTTGACAAGTATTGTTGAAGAAGTTCAAACTCTTATTCCTTTTGTCAGTATGTACCATAAATATGATTGAGCCATCGAATGTATTCTCGATTTATTATTGGTCATTCGTATGATCATTAATATTTGTAGCATTTGCGTATTTGTAACGTGTTATATGATACTCATACATATATCCAACGGTCAAATATAATAATTGATTCGATATTCCAAAATTGGAAGGTATTGATATTTTTGTTTTAATATCGTATCATGGCATTACACAGTAGACCAAAAAGTCAATAAAAACGACCAAAATGCAATTTTGGCCTTATTCTTAAACATAAGGACATTTATTAGTGATTTTAATTTATTTAATAATGATTTTAATTTATTTATCTGTACAAGGTTTTCAGTGTCAGTGATTCTTTTTTATGCAAAAATTTTGAAATTTAGAATGGCAGATTTAATCAATTAATAGTATAAAAAGTTACAAAAGTAATTTAAATATGAGTGAAAAGAGATTTCTTAGTCCCTCGCTCTGTAATTTTTATATCTCGTATAAAAAAAATTCTCTAACATAATATTTAAAATAGTTGATTCAATTATAGTGCCAAAAAATGCATAATTATTAAAGAACGCCGCACAATTCTTTATGTAAATTGGATTTCGGTGGAATTGGCTGA